AATAATCATTTATAGACTAATAGAAATGTGAAAAAAAAATTAGTTGTGTCTCAAACAGAATTACTAATGATACTTATAAACAATTAAAAAAAATAAAAAAGAAAGAAGCATGTAAAAAGGGCGGGAAGTTAAGATGGCCCATTAATTAATAATAATTAAGACATCAGACAAAAAATGATCTAAATCTTAAATCGTAGAAATGAGTATCTTGGTCATCTAATGTTAACTCAGATGACAATTGTATGATGATGTGCAGGAGTTAAAAGTTTAAATTTTGCCGAACTAATTTAAAAAAAAATAAATAAACATCATAGTTTTCTTTTAATTTAGTAATTACATTCGTCTATTAAACATAACTAGATTAAATTAATTATAAGGATAAAGATAAAAAAATCAAACAATTATAAGGAGTCTCAATGGTTAATGGTAAAGAGAATCTCATACTCCTTTCATTCAAAAATATTAAGTATTTTCTGACGAGTTGAATATTTAAAAATGTAAGGCATTTTTAATCTTTCAAAGTGTAATTATTGTCTTTTTTTTTTCAAAAGTGCCCCTATTGATAATGACTTTATATTTATTGTAGGGTGTTTAATAAGAGTAAATATGAAAAGATAGGGTTAGTTTGAAAGTAAGTAACTACTTTATTGGAGGGTAAGATTCAGTTAAAAATGCCTTACATTTTTGAACGGAAGGAAGATTCAAGTTCAATTAAGGGAAAATGTCTTTGAGGGTGATTTTCATTGTATCCAAAAAAGAAAATGTCATTTGTAATGTCCACCTTCACATTATAAAAACAACACACTACATGTCATTGTGATAATCAGGATTAAATAAAATTTCAAGTAAAAGTTATCACAATCCAAAAGTTTAAAAGGTAATTAGTTTAAAATAATGGGATCTTAAGAAAACCCTTTTAGAAATATTGTTTGAACTCAAACTATAATTTAAAGTCAGTCCAATATGATAACGGAAGCATGAAAATCAAATAGCACCTAAAAACAAGCTGATACAATTTGATAATTTTTTAAATATGGCCGTCTACCACGACGCAGGCCACACTTGTCGTGCAAATGGCATAAAGGGACAAATTCCTCAATGAGCATTTGCACTGCAGCACATAGCAATTGTCATGACAAGAAATTGCTATTAGGACAGCAATCCGAACTTTCAAAGCATGTCGTTTCACCATCTAACGTCTGATTTTAGGCGGTTTAAGTGTTTACAAAAAGCTATTCGAGCACTCTAGTTAATGGCACCAGTCTCACACTTAATTAATTATCCATTAAAAAGATGGATGCCTGAACTCAAAATGGTTTGTTTTCATCTTAAAATACTTTCAAATGTGTCCAAAATACATTACCAAATGTCATTAGATCCATAATCAATTGACCACCTCAAATAAACCCACACACAATACATATGGCCATTCATATCACTCAATTAACCAAACATACTTAAAATGACCATTAAACTCCCAATTACAACAACACAAAGAGGTTGGATGAAACTTAACAACAAATATTGTTTTGGTCATTTCAACACATAAATTATTACAATTATATCACTTGTGATTGTATCTTAGCCGAACATACTCATTCTATCACAATAGCATCAATCTTAAGCCAAGATACGCATACCTATCACAAATCCTCATATAAGTGATATCAAAACAATGTCATGATCTTAAGTTGGCATAATATTTATGGCATATTCATTACAAACCAAAATGACAAGGAAAAGAGTTATACAAATGAGTTCTTTACTCTTCGGTTGCCCTTCCTTTCCCTTGTTCGTACTGAAGCCCTCGCTTGTAAAATATAACCATGAGGTGAGATAAACATTCAATAAAAGAATAATTCACTACTATTAATTAACATGCAATCATATGAGAGTAAAGCAATGAAGCACCAAAACACTTTTAGAGCATATTACAGTATAACATTTTCCATAATAAATGTATATTTTCACTTTAGCATATTTAACAAATCCTTTTCACAAAAACAAGTCATTTTACCGCTAGCATGATCATTCTATCATTTGAGCCTCCATATCACCTTGACTGAAACCATAGGCTCTTGGAACCAAATGTGCATTCACAATGATTCGAGCTTACCTTCAGTGGTAGGATCATCCAGCTAAAAGTATCCTATCCCACTTCGAACTATGGCCCCCTATATCGCACACAAATTGAGGTATCGTACTACCAACACAACACCATATCCCACATAGATACTAAGGAGACTTTCTCCAATGTCATGCCTCACTAGACACTAAGAAGATATATGCCATATGGATTTTCACTACTCCTTCTTACAGGTGAACTCTCACCCCTAACATGATCATATTCACACTTATCATATAACACATACATTTCAAATTTCTCAACCAGTCGATATAAAATTTCACCATTCTCATCATTTACAAATAGTTTTTTATGCACAAAATCACATTTCGTAATATGCAAGGTTATCAAATCTCAAGTAACAAATTTAACATATCTACTTACAAATAGTTAAGCAATATAATTAAATAGTATAAATTATTTCGTTAACTCAATCCTTTGTCACACAAAAGAGTCACCGTGGTTCAACGTTAGCTCCACACATTCTAATACATACTGATAAAGCTCGAGCAATACTAATTTATACAATCAAGTGATAATTGTCAATTAGCACTCCAGATAAACCTTGAATTTATGAAGTTCTAAGTACCAAAAACTCTCAAATTCCTTATTTAACAACATCAACCTTCCAAAACACTTTAAAAATCCTATTTAACATCTAAACATACCAAAATCACCATCCAATTATCCATATTGTCTAAAAACTCTCAAATTATGCTTAAGGTTTGTTTAAACCCTCAACAAAAATTCTAAATCACCGTAAAACTCATAAACCTAAGGTTAGAGGCTTGATTCAACTCCTCAAGACTTTAAATAAGTCAATGGGTTCGTTCAATACTCAAACACAAAAAAAAAGCCCCTAAATGCCCTAAAATCAGAATTTTCGCATAAAAGCGAGAGGGGGAGGAAAAGGGAAACTTACCTAATGACAAATCTTGCCCTAAGTGTGTTCAAAAGTGGCCCAAGGTTATGCCCTAGCAGACCACAAGCTCCTCCATTGCTCCTCTTGCATTCACCCTTTCTTCTTTTCTGATTTTCAGTCTAGTTCACAAATTTGATAAGTGCAGATTTTGCACATACACTGCAGTACATTAACACATCCCATCGCAGTGCATGGACACAAAGAGCCCTATCGAAATTTAAACTTTCCTTTGTGCCATGGCTTATTCGAACTTCAATCTAGCCTTCTTTTAAGGCTATTAAAGAATTCAAAAACTATATTAGTCCCCTTAAACACTATCAATAAAAAAATTTATCGAATTTAACCAAAATACCTTTAAAAATATTGATAATTCCTAATTGAAAAACTTAGGATGTTACATCATTGAGGGCTCATGAAAGAAGATAATATTATTTTGGATTTAAAAAAATCTTGAAATTCTTCCACAAGCTAGCTAGACTATAGTAGAAATCTATTTTGACTTTTGAATATTGAGATCAAGTTTTAAAATATCGATGATACGAGCAAACACCACATGACAACACTTATCAAAATTCAAACACATACTTGTCAATTAGAGAATGGTTACATGTATGTTATTTTTTAAAAAATAACTTAGAATTATACAAGTAAATGAGACATGTAACAACTAGAGATTGACTTGTCAAATTCTAAAAATGTTTGTCAATTGAAGAACTTTTACGTGTTAATTTTTGAAGATAATTTGAAAGTGTATGGTAAATGTGACAAGTAATTATTTTTTTAATTGTAAAATAAAATTCTAAGTCCCCCTAAAAAGTTAACAAGTAAAAGTTTTGTAATTGACAACAACATTTCAAATTTTCACAAGTCAATCACCGGTCAATTTATGGTAGTGATCACACGTCATATTTATTCACACAATTACAAGTTACCTTTAAAAATCAGTACTTGGTTGTCACATGTTACATTTACCCATTACCTGGTATTAGGGGTATTTTTGACATTTGACCTCTTGCATGAAACTTTGAATTCTTTGAACCCAAAATGCGATTATTTTGCTTGAAGGGACCTCAAGGTCATTTCGCCCCTCAACTAATGAGTGGTTCAATTAAATAAAAGATGAGGCAACGTGGAGGGTAAGAAATTAGTGACGCACGATTAGTGAGGAGACGTTAATAGGCGAAAAAAGGAAGGCCATACAATAAAATACAAAAGAGTCTCCAAATTTTTATTAGATTAAGAAACGAAGACGCACTTTTCAACCCTCATCTTCCTTTCAAACCACGTTCCATCAACCCGTCCTCTCCTTACCTTCCTTTCCTCCACCATTTACCCCTACATGCCGCAACTTTCAGTACTTTTAATATCTGCTGTACTCCCTTATCACTTCCTACAAAATCAATATTCATAATGCATTAAAAAAAAGGATCGAAAGACAATTATGTCCTTAAACTATATGCCCATTATTAAAATCCTAAACTCATTTTTAATATATTTTTTACATTTCAAAACAAAGTAATATTGCCTTTATCATTAACAAATATGAACTTTAATAATTAGTTAACTGTAAAACTAAAAAACCCTCAAATTTATAATAAATGATCAAGAAAATTATATAAAAGTTATTAGTTTTTTTTCTAGAATCATTTTCTGTAATTTTGTGATCAACTAATGGTCAAAATTAATATTTGTTAATGGTCAGGACACTATTTTAAAATGTTGAAGGAAAACATTAAAGGCAAATTTTTCCTATAACACTTTAAATAAATATAAGATAACGTAGTTATAAGTTTTTTTTTTCCCCTAATCCATGAAATTCAAACTTTATTACCTACCCCAGAATATCAAATTGCTTCCAGTTAAATCCATCTACCTCTCACTCTGTCCTTGTAATAATCCCGTTACTGCTACTTATTGATGGTTAAAGATTTGGGGGTTGTTGAAAACATTCACACTACGAAACTTCCAACACCTCTCAAATGCAATAACCGACGTGTCCACTTTCCTCCCAATATATTTCTGTATCATTAAGCCAGACGGCCACCATGGAGGTGACCAACAAAAAGCTTCAAGTATTCTCTTCATCTCCAAATAAGCTGGACACAGAACAGAACGATCCTGAGACGGTCAAACTGAGGAAGAATATCTATACCTTGTCTGTGGCAAGCAATTTGGATTGTGAGCATTACCAGTAATGGGGTTTGCAAGCAGCGTTGGGAAGTACAGACTAGGGCGTACGATTGGAGAAGGGACATTCGCTAAGGTCAAGCTTGCTGTTAACAGCCTCAATGGTCAATATGTAGCTATCAAGATCCTTGATAAGAAAATGGTCATGGAGAGCCATCTCAAGTATCAGGCAACCTTCATCCTTGTCTTTCTTTTTTGTCCCTTCAATGTAAAACTAGTCACAGGTCGGTACGCTGTGTTTTTCTGCATATTCATTCTGAGTTACAACGTTTCAGGTCCAAAGAGAGATAAGAACAATGAAGCTTCTGAACCATCCCAATATTGTAAGAATTCATGAGGTATGTATGTAAATATGTTAGAATCCCAGAAAAAGTTTGGGATGAGCAAATGGTTAATCCTTCTGAATCATGTTTTGCCATTGAAACGATCTGAGAACAGGTTCTTGGCACGAAGACGAAGATATATATTGTGATGGAGTATGTATCAGGAGGACAACTATCAGACAAGCTGGTGGGAATTGAGAGATAGACTGTTCAAATAGTATTTTTTTATGGTATGCTGATTCAATTCTAATCACCGTCTGTGATCATCCCAGTCTTATGCCAGAAAGTTGAATGAAAATGAAGCAAGGAAACTCTTCCAGCAACTTATTGATGCTGTGGATTACTGCCATAACAAAGGAGTTTATCATAGAGATCTTAAGGTCAGTTGAATCAATCTGTCTTTGCCTAATTGAAAGGGAATTTCACCAAATTAACTTGGATCTTTAACATGTCATCAACAACAGCCAGCAAACCTGCTTCTTGACAGCAAAGGAAATCTCAAACTGTCTGATTTTGGACTAAGCGCGCTGAGAAAGGTAGAGCCAATTCTGAAAATTTTATCATCCCTGACCACCAATGACTTGTTTTCTTCCTAACTGGTTCAAATACATTGACAGCCTGATAATGTTCTCACAACTGCATGTGGTTCCCCAAGCTATGTGGCACCTGAGGTAATTTGAATCAAGTTTATCAAGTCAGTTTTCTTTTTTTTTCTTTTTTTTCTGGGAAGGCCATACAGGGAAGAAAAACCTAATGATCGTATCCTATATAACATTATTCCTGTAACTTATGATCCTCAATCCTTTTGTCATGATCAGCTGCTATGGAACAAGGGCTATGATGGAGCAGCTGCTGATGTTTGGTCATGTGGGGTGATCCTTTTTGAATTACTTTCAGGTCATCTTCCTTTTGATGATCACAACTTGATGAACTTGTATAAGAAGGTACACTCTTCTAGGCACAATCCAATACAGAAGTGAAACTTAACAGAAAAACTCAGCAGGCAATTTACATTCTCTTGTGGCTTTCAATTCTGCAGATATGTAGAGCAGAGTACACATGTCCACCATGGTTTACACTAAGTCAAAAGAAACTAATTGCAAAGATACTTGAACCACGAGTTACAAAGGTAGAAATTTTATAAACAATGACCTGTTTTCTGTAAATGTAACTAGTTGGTAACAACATGCTTTTCCGCTTCATTGCTGTTTCATTCAGAGAATAACTGTGCCAGAGATGATGGAAAATGAATGGTTTCAAACAGACTATTTGCCTGCTTGTGAGTCTGAGTGTGATCAGAACATTCACATGGATGATGTCAATGCTGCTTTTGATTCAGTTGAGGTAATTTACCAACAAATAGCATAAGAAGTTATAGGAAACTGTGTGTGGACAAAAAGCGTCTGACATTCTGTGCTTCAGGAGAATATCTTAGAGGCAACAATCACCAAGTCCTCAAGTTTCATCAATGCTTTCCAATTAATAGCCATGTCTCAGGACCTCGATCTATCGGGCCTTTTTGAAGAACAGGTAGGTCTAGAAATCCAAGAGAATCATCTCGAAGTGATCTATATGTTGCACTCAATCATCATTATCTGTGTTGGGTGTTTCTTGCTTAGGATCACAAGCAGAAAACAAGACTAGGATCCAAACACAACATTTATGAAACTGTAGGGAAAATAGAAACTGCTGCAGCAGATGTGAAGCTGTCAATAGAAAAAATGAACAACTTTACGGTATAAAACGCGCTTAGTTGATTTCTTAGTGAATCTAATTTGTGTAGCTTTTCCAGAGGCTAGTAACTAATGACTTTTCCACTAATATCAGTTAAAAATGCACCCCAAACGATTCATGACTAGATGTTCCAGATCATATTATGACCTGTCAGCTAAGGTAATTTATTGTTCTATACTATGATCTATTTTGTATTTTTCTCTTCTATTACTAAAATATTATTTCACCTCTATGTGAGGCAACTGCCAGGTGATTGAAGTTGCTCCAGCTCATTGTGTAGTTGAAATATCAAAATCTACAGGAGATTTAAGAACATACAAAGAAGTAAGATGGCATTTCCTCTTCATTGGTTATGCCAGGACATTGGTTTTTTACTTACTGAGATTTATTTTGATGACCAGTTTTGTGAAAGTCTATCTAGTCTCCTGACAGAAAAATCTGGTTCTGTTGCATCATCACCATCCCAAGAGTCTGTGGAAGAATGAATCACTGGGAAAGCTAACCAAGATACAGGGTGGTAATTATAATCTATAAGCCTAGATCACATCATTCTAAGATCATAATTATGTTGATTTCCGCTATTTGCTAACTGGAACCTTGCAATTAACTATTTCAGCTCTGAAGACTGTGAAGACAATAAAGGCATCCATAGTTATACATCTTCCTGAAGATTTTCTTTACCAAATCTCTTCACATTCTTCTTGTGAATGATTGTAATAAGTGAGGGTCAGGCTTTGTGAATGAAGATAAACCAGAATTTCAAAATCAATCCAAGCATTTTTTCCCCCTTTTTTTGTCGATTTATATTTAAATTCATCACAAACAGATTAACAGATGCAAACTTACCACTTCAATAGTACATCGCTTTGTCCATAGCTTTAATTTATCTCATAGGAACTGATTAGACATTTGAAATGGAAATTTGCAGCAGTTCAAGCTTCTCTACCGGAAATGTCTGTCAATTACGTGTCTCTATTCAAAGCAGGTACACAAAAGGATCATGTTTGTCTAGTCTAGTGTATTGATTATTTGAGGCAACACCTGAACCAACCTAATTAACGGTAATCAAGAATCAAGACCTTATGAACCATCATCAGAAATAATTATAAGTTGGAATGATGAATAATAAAGATCCTTTGCAATCACAAAAAGTGATTGTATGTTATTTATTTTGATTGAGATGAAGAGAAAAGAGATGGTGGATGTAAATAGAAGAAGTGGGTCATTATGTACTATCCCTCTCTTTGTAATTTTGTATCACTCTTTTCAAATGCAAGACTCTGTGATTGCAGAGAATCTGCCTTAAAGAATGAAAGGTTCTAAATGTTTTAGATCAAACAATCCAAAAAGCAAATCAAGAAAAAGGAATTGATTGAATTCGATTAATGCAACTGAATAAGAAATAAAATTAGTCCTGAAATCTAGGAGACACATATATTAGACAAATCCCTGTCATATGGGTGCGTATAGAAACATTGCACATAAATTTCTCTGCTGGAAAATACACAATATCATTTTCTTATGGTTGATGTGAAATGTGAGTCGAGGTTGAAGAAGTATATCACATCTTGAGAATTACTAATAATTAGTATCAGTATTAGTAATATCTCTAAAACTTCAATCAGCAAAACTCAACAACTTGATTCATTCATGGATAGAAAAATTTCAATTTGCCCTCAGACCAATGAAAAAAAAAAAACTGTCTATTTAGGTTATGCAAGTACAATTGTCCTAATTCTCCTTTCATTTTTTTTTAAAAAACCTTAATATTTATTTTATATGGGTATATCTTCAAGTCACACTACTGATACCAAGATTTTATTAGTAAGTAATTTGTAAAAATATGTTTAACCGATTTTTAAACTAAGATTTACTCCCTCCAGTCCCATTTATAAGTCCCATTTTAAAAGGTCTATTTGGTTCCATTTATAAGTCATAGTGCGTCTTTTTAAGTAATATTTGAGAAGTATTTCTAAAATTACCCTTTACGAGAGAGAAAAAGTAACAGAACATTACTTTTTAGATGTGTTATACAGGGGCATGTTTGAAATTTTACTTACTTTTATTCCTTATACTTTTATTGTATTGGTATTGATGAGATTGATAGAAATGACTTATAGATAGGAACGGAGGGAGTATTTATATTAAGTTTTAGACTCAACTATTTAAATTTTTTTTTAATCAAGAAAATAAAAGATCATACTTAACATTCTTATCAATTTTGCAAAACTACACACGTTCGTCCCATGAAACCACACTATTGCAATCCGCATATGCTCCCAGGCCAGCCTCTAACAAAGCTATTAAAATATAGTTAATCCAGCAAAGCCAGCAAATGCTGAGTAAGCCACGAAAAATTACCTATATGTGCCACCAAAAATAGGGCCACTAGCTCATTAACTTTAACGCTAGTAGATTATGAAATCAGCAAAGTAATATTTTAATATATATTCGGGACGAAAAATCAGGTAGTCTATCAGTATCACATGAACAGTCACGTATTCTCTTCATACATTGTTCCTCTAATAAATGACAATAAAAAAGTGCTAGGGAGGACCCCAAAAAAAAAAAAAAACACAAGAATCGTTGGAAATTTCTTATTCCCAAGCTTAATGTAATATCAATGAAAGAAAGTTGTTTGGCTTTATCTTGTGGATTTGGAATCAGTTAGTCACCTAAGTCTATTCATTCAATAAGATACAATAATAACTATTTAGTTAAATCAAACAATTATTTAGTTAAATCAAACAAGTATAAAAAGTCTTATTGTATAATATTCAAAAAATATTAAATCTTAAATTTTTTTGAGGGAATAACATATGTGAAGAGTGCCTTAACTGTAAGAATTATTTTTAATTTTTTTAAGAAAATATAACTTGATAATTTTTATTTTTTCTTAACTCAATCCAAGCAGGGGTTTCTTTTCTTATCAGTTGTTGTGAAATGTGAGTCAAAGGTTGAAGAAGAACACCAGATCTTGAGCATAAGTAAGGGTAAAAGTTATATAATTAACTTTATATACTTAATAAACTAATTAAAATAAGACAAGTGGATTTTAATGAGTTAATAATATTAATAATGAAAATTTATTATAGAATAAATAATATACAAAAGAGAAATAGCCACCTCAAATATATATGACTGAGTATATAATTTTTCAATAAGTGATTAGTATATTAGTATTATATATTTCTCTATAACTTCAATGAAAAATATATCAACAAGCCCTTATAGTTTATTTCAATTTTAAATTAAGTTCTTTTAATTTATTTTTTAATTGGGTCCTTATAATTTAATCATCTAAATATTTTAACCCCCTAAAAATTAAAATCCTTGAATTTTTTGTTAAGAAATAAAATTAAAAACCTTTATATTTTTATTAAATGATTATATAACTTTAGAATTAATTACATAATTTTTATAACTCAAAATTTATACAATTAGGTTGTTTTTTAAAATTTTTTTATAATTATAGAAGTTTCATACAAAAAAGTAAAAAAATTTAAACAGTATATTAAATCAAAATTTATTTTTTTAATTTTAGCTAAAATTATTAAATTAGATTTTCTATGAACTCTAAAAGTATTTTTCTTTGGAAAATTTAATAATTCATTATTAATTTTAACCTTTAAGGATTGACATATTTAATAGATCAAATTATAAGAGCATGATTAGAACAAAATAAATTGCAAGAACCTAATTTAAAATTGAGAAAAATTATAATGACATGCAAATTAATTCTCCCTAATTTCAATCAGCAGAACTTAACAACTTGATTCTTTCATGTATAGGAAAACTTAAAGTTGCCCTCAAACCAATAGAAACAAACGTATGTAGATTATGCAAGCATGTTTGTCCTGATCCTGCTTTAATCCCAAAAAAAAAAAACCCTTCAAAATTTTATATGGCGAACCAAATCAGGAAAAACTAACCCACATGGGCGGCAAAAAAATATGGCCACTTGCTCATCAGCATTTACGTTAGTAGATTATCAAATCAACAAAGTAATATTTTAATATAGATTCAGGACAAAAAAAATTAGGTATATTTATCACATGAACAATTACATAATCCTCTTCATACTGTTTCTCTATTAAGTGACAATAAAAAATTGCTGGGGAGGATATAAAGATCAACAAAAGAATCGTAAAAAATTTCTCATTTCATTTTTTAGTTTAATATCATTGAAACAAACGTTGCTTGGTTGTCTTTTTCCTTGTCAAGAGGAAAGAGATTTGTAATCCCCACCTAAGTAACATCTGTGTCAAGTTTTTTTTTTTTTTAAACTATCAGCATCACCCTGTTTTTTTTTTTTTAACTTGATGCAATGACATGGTATCGAACATTATCATATCATACTTAAGTATTATTGAGTCAAATTAAATAGTTGAATTCACAACATTTGAACTCTCATTATTTGAGGAGAATCGAGCCTCTTTCATTCAACCTAACCACTACTATTAATTCACCCTATTCTTTATATATAATCCTGAAAAAAAATGGATAATAATTAGAAGGGATTCAAATATTATTCGGAGTCAATTAATCATTGTGTACTAATCATGGGACAATAATAAAATTTTAATATCTGATTGCAATGACAAGAACTATCAAAGATGGAATTGATTCAGTTCCTATTGTTCCCATTGTAAGGAAATCAATCCATCACAAAAATGTTCTTAAATTTAAACAATGAACTCTATCGGGCGTGTTAAAATCATCAAATGTTTCAAATGCACCAAATTTAAGTATGCATGATAAAGAGTTTTGTCAATAACTTCAAGTCAAAAGCTTTGGTTGTCTAGTGAAAGTTTGTCAATAATTTTTTTTGAATTATATTGAAAACAAAAGCCCAAAAAAGCTACATATTGCTATAGTTCATCTGAGGGTTGTTCCCTCATCATCCACTAAAACCTACCGGTGGGATTGGTGAATGATTAAAGATGCAAAAGGCTTCATCAAAGTTAAAAGCATTCCTAGCAAAATAATCAACATATGCATTATCTTCACAGTACAAATGTTGAACATTAACTATCCACTCTCTATGGAAGAGAGATTGTGCATCAACTATGATATCTTTGAACGGGTGATTTTTCCTACATCCTCAAGTCAGCATATTCATTGCTTCCACACAATCAAAAAAATAAATTTATCTTCTTGTATCCAAGTTTCCAGCAAAGACTTAAACCATGAATAATTCCTATGATTTCAGTTATATTGGGCAAAACATGTAGAAGTTTGCAATTAAAACCTTTAACCCATGTCTAGTTTTCACCCCAAATAACTCCACCACAACCTTTATGTCCATTATTACAGATTGAACCATTCACTTCTAAAGTAAAAAAAAAAAAACCCACTAACATTCCTATTGTTTGATCTAGAGATCCCTTTTTCAAAAGAAAGAAAAGGAGCTCTCTTAAGGAGATCATAATCACAACAATCTCTAAAGAAACTAGAGCCATTATAATTATCACTCTCATCTTCTTCACCATTAAACACTTTCTTGCATCTAGCTACCCATATGTCCTAGCAAATATATCCAAACAAAGTAGCCCATCTAATCTTACTAGTATAATGTTTCTCGGCTTCATTTGTTAGGTTCCATTTTACCTATTCAACTCCTTCAAGACTAGTGAATACGTTCCAAAGTTCCTCTTTCACAACAACTTGCCATCTATTCCTCGCTTGTTGACAATCTCTGACTAAATGCATTGAGTTCTCCAAATTTTCGTAGCCATACATATAGGTATAATCCACAGCAAGACCTCTTTTCATTTTAAGTTCACAAG